GAATAGAGGGAGTTTATTGCTTCTCCAGGATACAGCACAGCACAGATATAATCTGGTTACAAGGCAGGCCTAGGATGCCTCAGCCCCCCTTGAGATGGGGGAGCCTGGGCCCCTTAATCCCAGCCCGTTGCCTAGGCTGCTTCCTCCATGATACCAGCCAGAAACCTAACTCACTCACTCCCAGCCCTACCCCCAGCCAGGGCTCCACTCCCCTTCTTCCTATTGTTCCACTCCCTGGGAGATAACTGGTCAGACAGGTTCTTAGCCCCCTTGCATAATGACTCATCCCCTGCCCTGCTGGGCCGTGCTGCAGCCAGCAGCCAGTGGAGGTCACTCACAACCCAAGCCTAGCAACCAGCAAGGTACCCACACTACGTCAACCAGTTAACCATTTCAACCTAGGTTTCAATGCTTGACCCTGCTGTGGCTGCAGCCATGGGGGTATCACAAGGGGTGTGTCCCAGCCATGGCTAAGGCTGCTCCAGCTCAACGTGGCTGGCTACCAACAAAGCTAACGAGCAAGAGCTGATTAGCCGGTTAACCGTTAAGCATACTGGTAAGCCAGGTATGCTTACAAGTTAACATCCCTAATCTCTCATCTCATGATCTCAAAGCACTGGATTGTGACTTGGACTAACTAGTCGTGGAGGGGATTAAAGGGAAGTTAGTACCTAGCTTACAACACTGCTTTTATCAGTGTTTCTGGTCTGAATGCACAGTAGAGATGTAAAAATGTAAGATGTAAGTGGTTAAACATATTGTTTAATGGGTTAACTATTAAAAGAGGGGCTGCCCCACGGCAGGCACAGGCTGCTGCAGAGCACCCCCTGCCTGTGGCTGACTCCAGAACAGCCCCTGCCTGTGGGGCACCTGGATCCGCCGTGGACAGGAGCTGCCCTAGACGACCAGAGCAACCCTTGTCCGTGGCAGGTGAGGAGCTGCTCCAGCCCCACTAGTTAATGTTAACCAGTAAGCCTCACCCATTAAGGGTTAACAAGTTAAACTTTTACCTCCCTAGTGCACAGAAGCAAGCAAGCACTGTGCGGGGATGGCATATACTAGCAGCTAAGAGCTACTCCTTCCGATAGCAAGGCGAAAGCACAGGGAGCACCTCTTACTCAGGGCACAATCTGAACCCTAAGGATTCAAATACTGAGCAACCCCAGCCAGCTATTAGTGAAGTGGCAACCATTTGTCTTTTGAACTAAAGCAAACTCCTCTTCCCTTCTAGACTCCTAGTGGGGATGCTTTATGTAAATACTTCCAATTGACTTCAGGACTGTAGACTAGATAAAAGTCCAATAACTCGGCAGTGAGTAAATCTAAAATCAGGGACCCTGCTGTGCAACATAGATCAGACAGAGGTCTCAGCAAAGGGCTTTTCATGTGCCGCCTGAGTGTATTCAGGATTCTTGGCAGTAATTATGTCTGTGTCACCGTTGTAAAGTGCGGAACTAAACTACTGGAGCACCCTGGAGCCAGCAGAGTACTTAACTTTAAACACGGGAATAGTTTGAAGGACTTCAGTGGACCAATTCAGGTGTTCAAAGGTAAGCACGCATTCGCTTGCTTGTGTGGCTTGGAGCCTTGACTTCTTGCTTGTTTTGATTTTCCGTTAAACTTTCACTTTGTAATTTTGTATGTGTGGCGTTCTCTGGGGAAAAAGAGAAAAATTCTTCCTCCCCAATTACAGGCCCATCTAAAAGAAAGAACATTGACGAAAATGTCATTTTACTTATTTTTCTTCTTAGATTAATTTAGCATGGGTGAATCGTGCCATATTGACAGTTCTTGATGTCTGCTACTTATTTAGTGACTACAGCCCAGGGTAATAAGCACCTTTCCTTTCCTTTCCCCTACTGTGATTCAACCTGAATTGAACTGAACTTCTCTATGCAACCAGAGACCACAGAAATTCAAATGGGTGCATGATAAAAACACGGATGTTCAGTCTTCCTGGCTTATTCTATCCTTGGCTTCTCCTGAGAGTTGCCAAGTAGAGGGCAATTAGGCTGTGTCTAGACTGCAGGCTTCTTTCAGAGGAAGTTTTTCAGGAAGAGATCTTCCCAAAAAACTTCTTCCAAAAGAGAGCATCCACACTGCTAAAGTGCATCGAAAAAGTGATCTGCTTTTTTGACAGATAGCATCCAGACTGAATGGACGCTATCTCACATGTAAGCTGTGATTACTATGGGTGGAATGGCCACCAGGGCACCTGTGCTTTTTCCTCTTTCCTCTTCTTGCGAAAGAACTCCCTTTACCCATCCACACACACACCTTTTTCCAAAAGAGCTCTTTTGCAAAAAGGCTTCTTTCTCATAGAAAGAGGCAGCAGTGTT